AAGAAAAAGTAGAGGGATACTTTTCCTGCTTCCCAGCATGGCAAAGCCACTCAGCACAGCCAAGGTGGCAGAGGAGGTTGATAAGGTGTGGACAAAGCCAGCGAGCAGGCTGGAGGTTCAACCCTTCACACAGTGTGGATGATCATGTCTATGGGGAAAGCAGATGGTGTCCTTAGCGAGACCACACCAGCCAAGTGCGCAGTCCCAGGAAGGAGGTTCCTAGCAGCACTGCTATAATGCCATCGCATTTTGCAAAGGCATCTTTCATGATGCCAACATTTCCTGAGAGCTGGGTTTTTGGAGAGCAGACCTACCGCAGTTTGTTCACCCTGCTCCTTTTGGTGAGTCAACCCTGGGCTCTGCAGCTATCCTCTGCACAACTATGCCCAGAGAGCTGCGAAATGGTTTAATCAGTCGGGAAGCAAACACTGGCACTCTGCTCTCGACATGTTTCCCTCCAGCTCTGCACCAGGCAGGTGCCACCACTGGTCACACAAGAGCCCAGCCGCAGTCCCCAGCAGATGCCTACAGCTGTGGGATCAGGCAGGGCTTAGCACAAGCAGCCCGTGTGCAGATAACCCATATCTACGGCAGCAGCTTGAGCAGCCCGGCACCCCCAGGGACTCACCCGGGTGCCAAAGCATCTGGCTGCTCAGGATCGACTCCGAAAGTCTGGCATGGAGGAGGTGATTGCCTTGGAAACTACACAGTGCGTGAGGATGTGCTGCCTCCCTGTCCAAGGAATCCTTTGGTCCTCACAAGGGTGGACAGTGGGGTCAGGTCATCCGCAGCCATCAGCAGGACATGCCATCCCAGACCTGGAGAGACCGACAAGCACCCTGCCTGCTTAGCAGTGAATTCCCTTCTTGTAGAACAACTCACTCCCAAAAGGACTGCAAGTTCCCAAACTAGCCAGATTTTTATTTATTTTTACAAGCACTCCCACCCTGTTCCCAAAGCATGAGCTATTTGCAGCACTTTTACCAGCTCAGCAAAGTTCCACATAGAATCACAGAACCACTAATGATGGAAAAGACCTCAGATCACTAAGTCCAACCCCAGCCCATCCTCACCTGCTTACTGAGCCATGCTCCTCAGTGCCACAATTCCACTGTTTTTGAAAACCTTCTTGATAACACAGGAAAGGGGATTGCTGAGCCTTGTAACAAAATTGCTGTGGATTCCCCCCCTTTCATCCTGCACCACCCAACCCCAGCAGCTTTGCAGAAGTCAGTCCTTCAAATTCACCCTCCTCTTCCACTTTAAGACAACGTTATTCCAATGATGCTGAAATGTCATCCCTTTGATGAACCGGAAGCAGGATTGCTCTAGTTTGAGCGGTCCCTTTTGTCATGCAGTTTGGGAGGCAGTGAGGCATGAAAGCTTTCATAGAACTGCAGCTGAATTGAGAGAGGTGGACACAAGGCTGCTTAGGGACCCAACGTGACTGATATCTTCATTTCCGAAGCCCATCCTGCATAAAGTGAACCCATTTGCTGGCCAATTAGACCCTAGTCACTTATGACACTATGATGACATTCCTTTAGGGGGACCCAAGCAGCTAAGCCCTGCAGCATCCAGAAAGCCCACACCACCTGCCCCAGCGGGAGCAGCAAGAGCAGCTCTGGGAGTGACAGGGGTGCCCCGTCATCCTGACCCAAAACCCCATCTGAGGGAGCATCAGAACTCATCCTACAGAATGCTGGCATTACTTCGTGCCTCTTCAGAAGCAAAAGTATCATTTGAAGCAAGCCTGATGTTCTCCATTCCAATCCTCACCTCCAGTCTGCAAAGAGGAGACCCCACCATGGACCTCCATTTCTTACAGGGATAGTAGCAAGTACACATACCCAAAGCTACAGAAGCCACAGCAGATTTGCCCTTCTTCTGCTTGCAGACCCACCTTCTGATGAACCCAGGGCTATAGCAATACCACCCCTTCTATGTGCCAATGAGCCAGAGTCCTCCAGCATTTTGCCCAGCATTGATATCTATGCTGCTCTCCATTACCTATGGCCCTCTCTAATGTGTGGCATTAAATGAAATGGCCCTTGGAATGATTTTGCTCAAGGCAGTGAGTAGTGCAATAAAGACAGACAGCTCCTCTCCCACAAGCTCTCCCTCCAAGGGCTGTTAACCAGCTATTACTTCTACTTTTGGAGCAAAACACTACACTTTGGCTACTCTGATGCCTGTTGCTCCATTTCTTCCAATGCACCAGATTAAATCAGCAGGGGGAGGGTTTAAAAAGCAGCAAAGCTCTCCCCCTGCACACAGTTGCCCATGCATCAGTGATATCCCCAGCACCACATCTCCCCATCCATACCCCAGCCACCCAGCCCATCATTATCCCTCCCCCTATCCAGGCTTCCCCTGGCTCTCCACTCCCGACTCAATGGCACTCTCTCTCCTTCAGCTCACGTTTCCTATTCCCAATGCTCCCGTCCGGCGCTCCCCCTCTGCCTGTGTGTGTGTTTCATTACTTCTGGGTGAAATAGCTGACTAGAGGGTCACTCCACCTGAAAATTGCTCTCCCCGGACCTAAATGAAACAGATGGGCATTGATGATGTTTTCAGAGGAATTAATCAGCCCGGACTGGCGGCAGCGCCGGCAGCTCCATAGTCCCAATCTCACCTAATGAATTCCGAGTTCTCTGTCTTAATAGCTCCTGACAAGACTAATTTACTCCTGTAAGTGATTAGAGGGGGGAACGATCTCTTAATTGTTGCTTAAGATTCCTCTAGGCGTCACACGCAGTGAGTGGGGATGCTCACTTTGTATGAGGTGTCCTGTGCCTGGGCACATCAAAAGATGTGAAGAGGGCTGCAAGGAGGCACACAGCCAGGGCTGCCCTAGCAAGGGAAGGATTTGCTCTGTACAGGGACAGCTGAATGCTGCATCCACATCCCTAGCGCTGAGAACAGGAACTGGGATGCTGAGGATGCTGCAGGAGGGTACCAAGACCAGGTGGGAGCTTCAGACCTGGCTCAGCATGTGGCAGTGACCTTTTTTATTCCAGCATGTCTGCAGCAAGCATTCACTCAATGCCACGGTGATGAGTGCTTCTCAAAAACCTCAAGAAGCCATGGGCTCTTTCCAGCACCGCTACATGCCCCCAGCTGGGGTACAAGAAAGGTACTGCCAGGTGATGCTTTTTTTCCTGTCAGTTAAGAACCCTCACTCTGAAAATATCTACCAACAGCAAAATAAAACAAAACAAGCACTTTGTCAACAGTTTCAAGGTTGATGTTTCCCTCTGGTGCATCTGGAACCAAAATCCCAGAGCACCAATATCCTTAAGAGTGAATTTCATTTCTGTTCAGTGTAATACAGAGTTTAGGAAAAATAAAAAATAAAAATCAGGCCCCAAATGTAATGCCAGGAACAACTTTATACGCACAATATCTCGCTGGAAAATAGACTTTCAGAAATCTCCAGTCATTTTTCACCAGAAGAGAAGTTCCGTCAAATTCCCGTAAGGTATTTCAAGCTCAACTACTCCAAGAGCCACACACTTGGTCAGGAAGCGTTCCCATTAACCTGCTCCCAACCAGCTCCCACTCCTACATCCACACAGCTGCTTTCTTTTCTGCAGCTCCCTCAAGCCATGCTATGATTTTGCAGGGCCCTCCAATCTGAGAGCTCTGGTGAGGATCTGAGCACAGCAAGAACAGTTGTTGAGGATGCTGCTCAAGGTGGTAGATGGAGGTAGGAGAACATGAGAAGGGGCCTCCATCTACTTCTGGCCACCCTTCTGTAGTTGCTCATGAGGGCTTCCAATCAATTCCTCCAGCATTAAAGGCCCGTCATGAGCACTGATTGAAGAGCACAAGCTTAATGGACTGAGAGTCTGGAAAAAGGCTGAGAACGATCAGGTCGATTTCTGCATTTACTTCAGACCAATCACTACCTAAATAAAGAAATAAAAAATAAGGTACACGTGCCAATCAAACGATGACCAAGATGTTTTTTTTTTTTTTTTTCTTTCAAGGGCACCAACACATACACACGTGGATGTGCACCACAACCTTGCCCAAATTCCCAGGCATCCAGCAGTGCATTTGAGATGCTGCATGCTCAGGTATTTGCAGGAGGAAATGAGGAACAGAGAATGAAGCGCTGGCACAGTGAGAGATGCTCGTCCCCATTTAAACTCATCCATCCCTGCTTGGGGAGACTCAATCCCTCACTGCCTTGCCTCACTTTGGGCCATCCATGCCTTCAAAACTTGTAAAACTCCTTCCTTCTGCCCTCTTTCAGAAAGTTCTTCCCAGCAAGCCTCCATTCCCAAAGCCTTTGTCCCTCTGTGGCAAGGTCCAGCAGCATGGATGGTTCCAGCCATGGTGCTGGGTCCAGGACATCACCATGTCACCTGACCACATGGACCACAGCCAGAGCCAAGGACACTGAACTTGCCCTGATGGTCATCAGGTGCTGCAGTGCCACTGTGAACTGTCCCAAAGGGGCAAAGGCACTGAGGCTCCTCTCAGTGCTTTTAATCATGACCTACATCTGGAGATCTTATTTCCATCCATATGCATTGAATGCATTCAGAGCTCACTGCTGCCAGACTCGCCCATCTGCTTATAGCAGTAGGTCCCACAGCACAACACAATCCTTCCCCACGTGGATGGGAAAAGACCCCATCCCGCACCACATTGAGTAATTAGCTAAGTAACAACCACAGAAGCAAGAAACAACCACCACAGAAGCAAGAAATGGGCCTAAGCTTCCCATGCACAGAGCATTTGGGACACGCTCCCAAGCATGGAGAAGACCTAACCAAAAGCATTCTAGTCTCCAAAGGCAGCCAGAAAGAACAAGGCAAAACTTCAGCCCCAGCGAGCAGTATGAACCCATGGGCAAAAAAAACCCCAAAAAACACAACTCTCAACCAACCAGTAATGATCAAATCTAATCACTTTTTAATTATTACTACTACTTAAAATCTTGTCTAACGTTGGGTTAGCTAAACCAGCCAGCAACACACAGCACTTACCCACAGGTGTGTCCTCATTGATCAGCAGGTAGGTGTCAAAGAAGTAGTTTATGAAGTAGGGTAGCCGGTTGCCCTGACCTGGGAAAAGAAAAAGAACAAGGAGTTATTTCAGCAGTCAGGAGAATTATTTTGCAGGCAGGAGAATCTTGGGGCTCAGGGACAGGCTGGTGGGGGATCAGATGTGGCTGCGCTTGGGATGGTGAGGGACACCCCTAGACCACAAGACCACAGTTGGTAGATAGAAGAGGAGCAGAGATGGCTTCTACAGTAGTCATGAGCTTGTTTTTTTTTTTAAGTAGTTTTCTTGGGAAGAGGCAAGAGGGGATGGTGACAGAGGGCAGCAGGGCAGGTTTAATGAGAAGGTGTTGGGATGGTGAGCGTGAAGAAGGTGATGTATTGCTGAGAACAAGTGGAGAGCAAGAAAACTCAACACCCTCGAGGTGATGAAGGGAGGCGAGGAGATGGATGATGCTTTGGCAGGTTAAAGAAACAACAGGAAAGTGTCCCTTCAAAGCCCAGATTAACACAGGAACAGTCTCAAAGCAAGTGTGATCTGCTCTCATGTGCCCCAAATCCCTCTCAAGGGAAAAACACTGTGGGCATGGAAGAGGGACACAGCTTGGGCTCCCCTTAGAACACAGGGCTGACCATAGCCGAGAGCTGGGAAAAGCTGGAGGTGGGACCTGGCTTTGGACTGCAAATTCCAGGAAAGCTTTCACCTTCCTCCATGCTCCTGTAATCCAAGAGCTTCTCCAGGTGGCACCGGCCAGTTGCAAGGGACAGCAACGAAGATGAGTTTAGAAGAGCGCAGCCAATGCTCTCCAAATTGCCTCCAAATTGCCTTTCTTTGCCCCTTGCAGAGCAGTGACAGGGCAGTAAGCCGCCGAGGCTACATGCATCCCATACAGCTCCGCAGAGATTGACTGCGCCTGTCAGTCGCTGTGAACGTCCTACACCAGGCGTGCAATCAGGCTGCCAATCTGGCTGAGCCATCTTGAGGCTCCAGGAGGGGAGAAAAGCACTCACTGCAAAGGGCACTGTGCTATCAAGTGGACACATGCTCACTATTGTTTATCAGCGAGCGCCACACGAGCAAACACCCCTGCAGCCCCCTCAAAGGCAGCTGGGGGTTAGCCCATTCCTTCAACAATCCCGATTTTCACGGAGCTTTGCTCTGTGTTTTGTACTCACACACCCTGCCAGAGCTTCTGAGGAGATCGGGAGCATCCATCACACCCCATGTCCGCATGCCCTGAGCTCTTCCCCCTCCTGCAAGCTGGCATTTGCTCCAGATGGAAATACAGGAGAGGTTGTGCAGTTCATGGAGGAGTTATTTCCCACACAGCATACATTACAGCACTGCTCAGGTAATAATTTTGCTGCTGAAAGCACAGGGAGAGTCCTGCCACGTGTTACAGAAATACCTCTGCTGTTAAGCAGCTTGCAGGCTTCTGGTTCACGTCCTTGCCTTTTGTCTGCTTCCTTATGCATCCTTGCATAAGATGATCTGTCACTAGCTGTGACCTCTTGGACACACAGCTGGAAATTGCCAAGATCTTCCCACTCCAATGCACCAGGAGCAGGTACCACTATTGGAGCCACCTGCACATCACCCTCTTCCTCCTCTCATCCCACTTGCCCTCTTCAGAAGGGGACATTGATGTAAGACCAGGCAAGGTGAGGTCTTCTAGAGAATAATTTGTCACATTGCCAAGTGGGGGCAGGGGAAGCGAAAGGAGCACCCCAAGCTTTTTGGGGGATTCCACCATGCCTACAAACCCACGTGGTGGCAGAACAGACAGCTACTTGGCAGACAGCTAGCAGCCAGCACATGGGTTGGATTCCAACCACAGCACTCAGCAACCACAAGCTTCACTTACCCAGAGGGATCAGCTCCAAGACCAGGAGGGACAGCAGAAGGTTGCTGGCAGCAATGCAACGCTTCATTGTTCCTGCCAAAAAATCAGCTCACGTCAAGCCCAGCATATCACAGATATTGTCTCATGCCCCCAAAGCAGGCTCAGGGACACAGCTGGCACAACACACACAGATCACTATTTTGTAAATGCTCAGCTTCCATGCAGAACATGCCACCCAGAACCCCCCCAGCACATCAGGGGAGCTAAGGAACTAGCAACACTTCTGTACTACATTAGGTTCCTTCAAGCTCAGCTGTCTGCTCACATAGGACACAGTTCAAGGATGGACTCAACAATGCCAGCAAAGGGCCACGAGGGCTTAAAATTGAAAGAAAGGAGGTTTATATTAGATGTTAGGGAGAAATCTTCACTCAGAAGGTGGTGAGGCACTGGCACTGCTGCCCAGAGCTGTAGGTGCCCCATCCCTGAAGATGCCCAGAGCCACATGTACCTCTCAAACCAGTAGGGCAGCTGCAGAACCAGAAGCAGGCACTGCAGGGGCAGACCTGCCCACATCCTGCTTTGCTCTAGGATTTCCTCCTCTTTTCATCCCATCACCACCCTCAGAGCAGCAGGGTGCTCAGTCCCAGCCTGGCTTGAAGGGCTGGGTGCTCCTCAGAAGCTTCAGAGTAATTGCTACATGTATTTCATTTTTACCGATAGAAATGTCAGAGAAGACAGTTCAGTTCATAACTCTGTCACCATCTCAGCAGAAAGGGCCTTAAATTCCCATTTCTTCAGCAATTTCCCAACAAGAGAGGTTCCAGGAGAAGGGATGCACAGTCAGGAAAGACAGCACATTTGGGACCCTCAGCACAAGCCCAAGGAGAGAGCTGGTGTCCCTACATCCACACAGACAGAGCTGCCACCCCAATCACTGTCCAAATGGAGTGTTTGAGCCCCTCTGCATTCAGCAGTACAAAAACACTATTGAGAAAAACACTAACTTTCTGCTAAAATAGCACTGCTATAAGCTCAGGTGAGCGAAAACATTATTCCCTGGCTTCACAGACCACATTTAAAAAGCAACAGGGCGGTGGAAAAACAATTTGCGTGATGGAAAACTAAAGGCAGCTGACAGCATCCCTTTTGAGTGCCACGATAAATCTAAATATTGTACATTCCAAGTCAGTCACTTCATTATGTAAGTAATTGCCTGAAATGTCATTTTGATTTTTGTCTGTCTTCATTAATGCTGCAGCTCTTCACCGGCTCTCAGAGGCAGTTCACTCCGATACTGCAGATTTCGGAACAGGCTTGAGGGATCTCGGGGGAGAACTTCAAAACTTGTGACTAGGAGCATATTAAATCACACCTTCTGCCTGGAAGAGGCTCTGTGTAGGAAGCATTCGGAGCAACACCTGACATAATGTCTCTGGGCAAGTAATCTCTAGGAATTTACTGTGGTCTCCCGGCTGCAAAAGCACTGATGTTAAAGCAGAGAGCTCCCAGCCCGCTGGCAAGCGCTCCCCACGGCACGGGAAGCAGCAGACAAAACTGTATTAATAGAATGCAGATGCAAGCTGGAGGAGGTTCTCCTGCTAGAACACTGTCTGCAGAGGACCTGAGTACTTGCAAGTTCAGCTTCAGCCTGGCACCACTTTTGCAGCCCAGAGAGAACCACACAGAGTCCCCCATATACATAGCACAGCTTTTGGAATTGTCCCACCTATTAACCCAGGAGGAGCTGCAGCAGAGCCCAGCAGTGCATATCCAGCAGGATTTAAACCAAGCAATATTGGCAGCCTCTGTCAAACACTGACTGGACTCAGCACATTGCTCTCAGGGTGCTTGAATGCTGGCTTACAGGCCATGCACCTGCACTGGTTGTTTTGAAGTGTACTGTTAGGGTGCTTGCATAGGAGAACGCTGTGCATGCACACAAAACGCACTGAGCATCCTTAATTGACTCCACTGTGTCCTGCTGCCAGAGTTGCTCTTGCATTCAAGGTGCTGGTGTTGGTAAGTGGGCTCCAAATCCAGAGCCCCTTTCTCCCTGTCCTGGTAAGGAGACATGGCAAGAGGGAACACACATGGGTGAAACCCTCCTAAAAACCACTGCAGGAGGAAAGCGAGCCCCAGGGTGAGCATCCACTGCCCTTCCTTTATGCATCACCACTGACCAGACCCAACCCTTGCAAGCATCAGTATCAAGCCTCAACCCCAGTACTGCCTGCAACACGTCCTACTTTCTCTATTGTGCTGCTCCACCACGAGCAGCATTGTTCAAAAAAAAAAAAAAGTTGATCCCTAAATTATTTTTTTTTAACTGACTTCTTAGCCAGGTCTTCACAATAAGTGTAATTCCATGTGTTGACTTGAGCAGTACACAAATCATAATTCCTAAAAATAACAAATGGCAGAATAGGGTAGTCAGAAGTAAATTGATATTGATAAATAAGCTTTTCTCCTGCGCAGTAGGTGGTTTATTTTAATCTAATGAGTTTTATATTTTCTGAGCTTTCAGATTCCATGATGAAGAGCCGTCCGCACCAGAATTACGGAGTGCTTGGAAATATTGTAATTTTATGGCTCATTTTGTCAGGACTCTTGAAAATGAGATTTGTTCCCAGGAAAAAAAAAAAAAAAGAATTGCCCCTTTTTTTATTATTATTCTCTTCCCTGTGGTGAGGGGAAAAATTCCCTTGTTAAATAAACACAGGGTTGTCCGTTGGGAAGGGACGCACAGCTGCCACTACTTTCCTCTACCAGAGTCTGCAGAGAAGCTCCCAGTGTCTGCAGCAGCTCATTCCTTTCTCCAAGCAAGGAAGTGGAATATTTTTATTTGCTTTTCCAGTAGGAAACAAGCATTAGCTACAAAACATATTGTTTAACTGAAAGATCTAGATTAAAAGAAAACACTGTGTTTGAGCAGAAGCTTCTGTACCTTGCTCCACAGAAGAAAACTTTGCCATAGTTGGAAGTGCTGAACTTGAGTTCATGATTTACCCCAGCTGCAAGTGAAATCACAAGTGCCATAACACAGCCCCAGTAGCCACACGGGTTTGTGCAAGCAGAACACACCAGCTGCACGACTGCAGAGCATCATCTGGTAGCACAGCATTACAAGTCTGAGTATCACATTCACTGCCTTGTTCATGCAATGTTAATAACACCTCTGGGTCTTTGGAACATGGCACATCACCCCACTGAGGCATAGCCACCTGTCCTGCCATACTTAAAGGCAGCTTCTCTTGCGGGCAGGCAAAAGAAACGGACAGGGCAGCACTGAGTCCCCAGCAGTGGTTGCTATGCTGCCTATGGTGACCGGTTTCCCATCATAAAGCCTTGGCAAACTGGAGCAAAAGTGGCACACTGGGATGAGGCACAGGGGCTGCACCAGCAGGGATGTGGCTCGGTGGTGATAGGCTGATGGTTGGACTAACTGAGCTTAGAGGTCTTTTCCAACCTTTATGATTCTATAACCAGAGCCCAGCTCACAGAGCACATACAACATGGTTTCCACACAATGGGAGTTTCTCTCCAGACTCAGTCCCAAGGAGCAGAGGACAAAGCAGCAAGAGGAAAGGTTCTGAGGGTCTGACCCAAATCTGCTGGGCAATGGGGGCTAAATGTGTCCTGCTCATGCCCTGCTCAGAAGGGTAGACAACTGTGAAGTGCAAATGAAAATAACACTCCCATCTAAGTGTTCCACACACATGCAGAATAACAAATACTCCCAGTTTGCACATGCTATGTGACAGCTACTTGAGCAAAAATGCTATTCCAGCCCCATGTTACAACGCGCTGGGGTTGCCAGACCATGGAGATCTGCAAGGCTTGAATGAGCCTTGTGGAAACCACCGAGATTCCCCATCTCAGCCACACAACCCACAAGGTAAAATAGGACCCTGCAGCAATGCAAGCAGGAAGGCACAAATTATAAATATTTTTTATTATTTGTAGGTCATAGAAGCCCCAAACTAACCCTTGTCCTGTAGCATTGCTGGAATTCTTTTTGCGGGATGCTGTAAGGGGAAAAGGGAGGAGCGCTGGGGTGCACTTTGTAACATTTGTGCTCACAGATCACAAGCATTAAAGCACTGCCTACACCCAGGCACACTGCTGCAGAGCAGGACTGCAGGCAGCTGGGTCGCTTCTACCCTAACAAGAGGCAACAACCCCATTCACAAAGCATTAGCGCTCCAGACCATCTGTGCAGCACATTTAAGAAACTTGATGAATGGAGCCCTTTTTTGGAAGTCCCCAGTGCCATGGCTGCTTCCTCCTGAGGAAGTTTTGCCTTTCCCTGCCCACCTTGCCAGACTGGGCACTGCCCCATAGCAGTGGGAGCCCCTCCTCATGCCATCTCCCTGATTCTTCCAGGTGGAGCCCTGGAGTGGGGGAGACAGGCATCCCCCGGGCAGAGCTGGGTGCCCTTCCCAGCCCTGCTGCAACATACCGTTGGGCTCCCAGCTCCCACTTATCTTGCAAACATTCCTCACAATTATCACAAAAGAAAAAAAAAAAAAAACCACAGAAAAAAGTGGAGACAATCAATTTCTACAGTTTCTCATAAAGGGAGTGTTACAATTTAGCATTAAAACAACTTGCCGTACTTTCCTGACACAATCTCGACTTTGTGCTACAAAACAGTTTGGCTTCACAACACTGGGGAGGGAGGGGGTGGAAAGAGAAAAACATGACTGTGAAGGGATTTCCTCCCTTCCCTCCCAGGGGAAGGAGGAATGGCAACGTTACATCTCCCTCCCCCAGAACAGCCGCCTGGATTTCAACAAATACATGCTTCCCATGGGAATGCCACCGGGTGCATGACATGCTCCAGCCCCATCCCGTGCTGCTCTCATGCTCCGGAGCTGCATACATGCAGAGATATCCCAGCACGGTGCACTGGGAAGGGCGAGGAGCACTGTGGGGACATCTGCTGTGCCCAGGGGACCTGCCACTAGGAGGGCTTTGGTGGCTTCACAAACATAGGCAATAAACCACTGCAAGCACAGCATAAAAACTTCCCATTCCAGCAGAGCACCCCCAGAATGACACCGTCAAGCCACTGGAGAAATTATAAAGGTTAGAAATGCCCTGTCAGCTCACGCAGCCCACCCCCCTCAGTGCCACATCTCCAAGGCTTTGCAACACCTTCAGGAACAGTGACTCCCTCACCTTCCCCGTTCCATAAAAAGAAAACCGACAGCCAGCAACAAAAATGCAAAAACGAATAACTGTTGCCTTCTCCTACAGCATCTTCATTAGTCCCCCTTCTCATTCTCAGATCCTCACTATGCTAATATAAATTTGTCCAATTAAATGCCGACAACAAAGCCCCGCACCTGTAACCCCCAATTGCAACTGGGCACAGACTGCGATTTACCTCCCCGTGGCATCCTGAACCTCTCTCCGTGGATCGGAACAGAAGGACCGGTGCTGTCCAGATCAAACAACAGCGGGGAGACGCTGTCCCTGCCACAACCCGGGCTCCGTGGAAGGCAGCCCGATGCCATGCATCCGGCTGCTTTCATGGGGACCAGCCCTCCCTCACGAAGTTTGAGCGTTTTCTTTAAATAAAGCGGGATGCGTGCGGGGCAGCGCTTCAGGCGCTCAGGGGAAGATGATTTAAAGGAAGAGACGAGAGAGCAAAGGAACGGGGGATGTTAAAAAAAAAAAAAAAAAAAAAAAAAAGAACAAAACAAAACACAAGCAAAAGAACCACAAAACAACCTGAAGTGCTGTTTCTTGAGAAAACAAGAATCCACCCGAGGCGAGTTGGTCGCTTCGAAAAGCCTTCTTCCCGTTCCCTATGGGTACGAAGGGATTAAAGCAATCCCTTCCATCGCGTTGGGCGCTGCTCGACCACCAGCAGCCCCGCGCACCCCGGTGCTGCAGCTCTCACCCCGCTTCCCGCACCCTCCGCAGTTGGAGAAGTTCGGCAGCCCCGCACCATCCCCGTCCCCATCCCCCTCCTGCTTCCCTCCCTCCCTCCCCCCCACGCCACGGACAGCGGCGGAACCCCCGCACCCCGTTACCTGCGGCAGGGCGCTGCCCGCAGGGACATCACCTGCGGCGGGGCCGCTCCCCCCAGCCGCGACGAGCGAGCCCAGGCGGCAGCGGAGGGAGGAGGAGGAGGAGGAGGAGGAGAAAAGGGTGGGAAGGAGCCCGAGCGGCGCGGAGGAGGCTGGCACAGTGCCTTTTGCCCAGGTGAGGAGTATTTCACCGCCTGGCCAACAAAGTGGGCTCCCCTCTGTATCCCCTGGGGAAGGGGACCAAGCTCAGCACGCTCTAGGGGATGGAATCCAGGCTCCATACCACTATGATAAGAGGATTCAGGCTCAGCATCTCTCCCAGAGCATCTCCCACAGTATGAGGTCTAGGCTCAGCAAACCCCTGGAGCCTAGTGTGCATCCCTCCTGTGCTCTATGGGATTTAGGACCAAGTACCTCCCAGAGTGATGGAGTACAGGCTCACCATCTTCCTCCTCCCCCTTCTTCCCCCTTCCCTCCCAAACACGCATTATGGGGCCCAACACTCACCACATCACAGAGTTCATTCAGTCCTCTCCAAGATTACAGGTCCAAGCTCACAACCCCTTCAGAGCATCCCCCACATGATGCCCCTCCCACATCTCCCCATTATTACAAGATCTAGCTTCAACCCCCTCCCAGAAAAGGGGTCTGGCAGCACACTGGCAGTTGCAAAGAAACTTCAGCTCAAGGCATGTACTGGGCACACGAAGTTTTAACTCAGCCTCTATTTCTGGTTTCTTTTCACATAATTAGCTTGTGCAGGAGGGCCAAGCAGGTCCACAAGCCCAGTGTAAATCATACATGAGTGGAACAAGATACAGGCAGCATGCTGGCATCAGTATCATGCTCAGAAGCACGCCAGTGCCTGCATGCGCTTATTATTCTTACACACCTCTCCCTTGGGTACCCAGTGTTACCAGGACAGTGCTACCAACACATGCTTCCACCCAACCCTCTGCAGAAATCCCTACTGATCTCATGGGTGGCTGTGGCCTTACAAGCAACAGGCATTTGGATGGGGACAGGAAGGAAGACAGGTCCCTGAGAGAATTAAGGCAGCATTGATCATCTCATCTTTCCACGGAGTGGCTTATTATTCAGTGACAAAATTAGGAGATACACCCTCACTGCTTCACACAAGTAGCTCTTAATTAAAAGCACAAAGAAGTGCACTTGGTATTGCTAAAGCCCCTCAAAGACCCTTACACACTCACCTTCACATCCCTCTTTCCCCTGCAGCAGCTGGCAAATGCCTCTGCAGGCCCAGGAGGGGATAATTAAGCCCTTGCCTCTTGCACAGCTTCTGCTAATTATGCAATTACTTCGGCTCCTCCACTGATTGATCTGGGCTGGGCAGGGGGTTGCACCCTGTGCCCTACAGCCATGAGGAGCTCGCGGGGCGAGGGCGAGGGCGAGGGCGAGGGCGAGGGCGAGGGCGGCTGCGGCACAGGTCAACTCCACGTTGAAGTGCACATCAGAGCCAGCCCATGAGTGTTCCCCTACAGCTGTTTGGGGTTAAGCAGAATCCCTGCAGCTGAGTGCAGGCAACTCCCACAGCCTGAGATGCTGGGCAGTAATTTCACCTCGTGCCTTTTCTCTGGGTCTGCTCTCGGGAGCTCATCCCAAAGTTGTAGCTTTTTTTTTTTTTTTTTTTTTTTTTTTTTTTTTTTTTTTTGGTGGGTGACAGCGGTTGTCTGGCATCAAATTCACTTCCAAGCCCTCATTCAGGCTAATGTTAGAAACACACTGTTTACTCAGGAGTTACGGGTGGAGAAAAACGAAGCCCCCTACAGAAGAGCAGAGCAACCGCTTTCCTTTTTCCGTTCTTGCTGTCCACAGGCAGAGCAGGAGGTGCCATCTGCAGGCGCAGCACCGCGCGGCACCTTGTGCCAGCGCCTCACCACCCCGGCTCCAGGACGCTTCCCTTACATCCCAGCTGAGAGCAGGACTCGACTTCTGGAGATGCAGGTCCAATGGGCCCGACCACACGTTGCCATCGGGGTGATGAACAAGGAGAGAAACTTTCCTAGCGCGCGTTGTTCTCGCGGCGCAGCCCAGCAGAGCACAAGCCACTCTAATCACAAGCTACAGTCCTTCACCATCTGGTTAGAGCCTAATTACAAATGCAGGAAAATAATGTGCTTTACAATTGCACCAGTAAATGCTGTAAATGATTTAAATGCATGCATATGTTCCCTGCAGAATTCAGCATGCATCTGCGGCTTCTTCTCCTCGCGCTAGGCACACAAATCAAGGAAAAAATACCCAACTCTGACGAACAGAATGTCCCTAGGATGATGATTTTTATCCCTTCTTCTTCCCCCCTGCTGGAATAGCAAACGGGGCTTTTTTGTAACAATTCATTCAGCAGCGTTTTCTTCGCTCCCATTTTAAAAACTGTTTATCGCCGCCGTGTAAATATAGTACAAATTACCCCATAAAGCACTCAGAAGGAGCACGGCAGCCGGGTAAGCCTGCAGCTGGCTGATGCTGTTTCAAAGCAGAGCCGTTGTGCAGGGCAGAGTGGGAGGAAGAACTGCAGGGTCCCAGCTCTGCTTGGCTCAGCTGCCGGGAATGGGGCCCCCGAGCTGGGGTTTGGGGTTTCCAGTTGTGCTCTGGCTCAGGCTGCAAAGTCGTGGAGGTTTGCCAAACCAAAGAAAGCTTCCACTCAGCCGGCATCTGCAGAGGGGAAAACGGTTAAGGGATGGAGTGAGATGGGATAGATCTTTCTCTTTAAGGGTTGTTGGGGGCAGTTCTGGCTGCAGACATCAGGATGCTCTGTGATGCTGCGAGGATGCCCTGCATGGAGCTGTTGTCCCCACAGTGATGGGTACCACATGCCTCCATCCTTGCAGTCCTAGCTCCAGGCATCAAGCCAACAAATACAAAGCTGCCACAGCTGCTGTTGACCCAGCATCCTGACCAAACACTAAAAGGATGGATCCTACCCCAAAAAGCATGCACAGCAGGGCAGGAGGCAGCTTCTTGTCTGTCCTGTCAGCGTGCACCACTACCAAGGTGATGCTGGAGGACAGAGAAGTGGTTTCAAAGATGCTTCCACCTGCCAAATGTTCACAGTGTTGTGCCAAGGGCTCTGGACCATGCGTTGCAGATGGAGAGGTGGCAGGAGGCATTGTTTCCATCACTCAGCAGAGGGGACAGCCCACGTAAGGCTTTGGACATCAGAAAGTCACTTGCAACCCATGTGAGGCAAGCATCATGCCGTAACACACATTTCCTTTCCTCCCAGAGCACGCTGGTTGGCTTTAAAGCCCTCAGAGCCTGCACACACAGACTCCAGAACTGGCAGCAGAATAGCTGGCACCACTAAGGACAGAAAGCACACAAAAAGGGTCGGGAACAGGCTCAGCCATTCTCTTTTAAGCACAAGCTGCAACAGATGCATCTCCTCCACTTCCTGCCCTTCCATCCAACCCCCCTCTGTACCATCTTTCCATTTTTGTTCTTCCATTTCACAGCCTCTGCCCTCCCGTAGCTGTTTGGCTATGGCGCCCAGGTGGGTGCAGAAGGCAGCACAGGGCACAGTGGCACCACGGGCTGTTTTGGCAGCAATGCCAACCCTGGGCACTGCACAATCAGCAGCTCTTCCCCTTGTCAGCAAGCAGGCATCCAGGAGAGTTTTGATTGAGTTTCACCTCATGAGTCCATGCTCATGAATTCTGCAAGACTCTGCTCGGCTCACTCCATGCCAAGCCCTGCAGAGATCATGGCAGTCCTTTCCCCAGCAGCCAGATCATAGTCAGGTTTCCTCTGCACCACACGAAGCCCTCAGCAAGCACCAGCCTGAACCTTAGCTGAGTGTCTGAACCCACAATAGCGAGGGTGAGAAGAAGCCAAGCTGGTATCATTTGGCTCCAGGCTGCTGCAAAGAATGTTTAGGAAGTCAGAGTGTTTGACAATCAGATTCACTTCCAGAACTACAACAGAGTTGCACCTCTCCAACACATGTCAATAGCAAAACACAGTGAAAACATTTACAGCTCTGCACATCTCCGTGAAGCAGCTGAGGAGGTGGTACGAGCTGGAGTCCATCTGGCAGAGCCTTTTTGGACTCTGGCTCCATGCAACCTGGCTCCATCCCATCATGCACATGGGGAGTGGCACCACAGGATGTGGTCAGTCATGGCAGAAAGGAATCTGAGTTGTGTCCCAGCCTGTGCATCTCCAAGAGAAATCACTTCAGGCACCAGCATTTACACAGAATTAACTTTATTACCAATGCTATCAGACAATCAAGTCCTGTCTTGAGAGATATTCGGTAATTTCACTCCGTAACATCATGGAGAGGATGGGCAGATGTGGAAAGCAGCCAGTGAATGAATCAGACCTCATAATACCTCGTGTGTGGGGAAAACCAAACAACACAGAGCAGAGGACCTCTAACCTGCCTTTAAAAGCCCACCAAGGCCACCTGAAGCTAAAGACATAATGGTGGTTAATGCCACCACTAGTGCTTGTGC